TTTAATTATATCAAAAATGATAGAATTAGGTATTTCATAAAACCGACACAGTAATAATTTTTTTTATTAAATAAAAAGGAAAAAAAAACAAGGGAAAAGGAGTGTTCTACATGGGTTATTCTTGTCAAAAATTGTTAGGAATTAAAGCAAAACTAAATGGGAAAGGACAAGAAAACAGTCCATGGTTACACTAGTGTTGTGCAATATTTCTCTTAAGTGAGAAGTGGAAAAACAGTGAATTCTGCTGGCATGCTTGCGGTGTATTTAAATAAAAAGATGTTGTTTAATAAGAACAAATGGTCAAAACATTGTTATGAGTGACCATGTTCTGCTTTTGTGCCCGATGTAGTCCTCTAAGTAAGACACTCATCAGTGATAACGGAATTTTTAGAGGGTACCTGGAGCTCCTTACCTTGTGTGACTGCTTGCAACAAAAATGTAGGTGCTTGCAAGATCAAAATGTTAGTATTTTATGTCTTCCCTGTACAGTTTGTGTTAAATGACTTTGCCAGGTTTGTGACCATGGTAAAGCAGCTATTGAGTGCAGAGTAGGGACCGTGAGCGCCCAGAGAGCTCTCTGTATGGGGTGCAGCACTAGCTGAGGTGTGGAGGTAGCTGCTCGGTGGGCTCCTGAGCCGTGGCATGAGGCTCTTGGCAGCAATTTAGTGAGCTCCTACCATTTCTGTAGAATTAAATGGCATGAGGGGTTCTGCTTGCTGTAAAAATATCCATCTCTTTACAAACAGGAGCGGTTTCCTCTTCTTGCTTTGTGCAGCAGGGCCGGCGGCACCTCGTACGGTGGCTCTGCCGCCATGCCAGGCCTCGTCTCGCCAGAGGGCAATGGAAGGCCAAGCAGCGCGGGGCCTTCCCTCTCCTGCCGCATGGAAAGGCTGTGATTCTTGGCACGCGCCGGCTGGGCTTTGCTCCTCGGCCTCTCTCCCCACGTGGCCTCCGGGCAGGATGTGACCCCGGTGCCTCCTCAGCGAGGCCATTGTTGCCTGGTTCCTTTCCTGGCTCCGCTCTCCAAACAGCCACTCTGCCCGGCCACGTCTGCGGGCGGCCGGGCCTGCGCGCGGCTCCGCTGCCCTCATGGGCCCAATGGTTCTTTGCTCCTCACGGTTTCACACTTCATCTGCCTTTAGTTTTTTCCTACAGCCAGCGTGGCTCTGCAGACACCTCCCTGACGCTTGCATGTGACTGCTCGCTGTAGTGAGAGCTTTCAGACGCCCTCTGTAATTGCAGAATCGGGACCAAGAGTTCCTCTTTTTGCTATTACAGCCCTCAAACACAGACAGTTTATTTTGGGGAGCTCAGACTTTCAGTTTTTGTCGTTGAGCTCCTCAGGGCTCCAGTGGGTTCTGCATTTTGCCACCACTACATCCTTCCTTGCCCTTCCTGTGGCCGGTTTTACCAGAAGCAAAAGGCATTCTTGTAAATGTTTGACCCACAGTGCATAGAAAGTTACAAGTATGTCACGAGCAAGGCTGAGATCTCTGTTGGTAAACTTCCTTTGCCTCCTCCCAGTGCCTGCCCCACATGCACGCGTAGGAACGCGGGTGCCCGCACGCTCACCCCTGCACACGTAGACCCGTGTTGGCACAGCAGTCTGGGGCATGATGGGAGCACAAGGGCTGCCACATTTCAACAGTTACCACTTCTCTTCCACATCTTTCTCCATCCTCTCTTTTCTTCCCTTTGTATTTTCATCCTTCTCCCAACTGCTGTGTGCAACAGCTTTGCCCTCTGGATGCTGCTGTTCCCCACTTTCCCTATTCAACCTATCTCTCACCACCAAGAGAAAGCAGCCCTTGAGTTATGTACAAGGAATCAGCCCTGCTGCAACGCGGCATTGGTGTGGGAGCCCATGCCAGATGTAGCTCTGCTTCAGCCATTCGGAGACGTGACACGCTGGTCCTTGACATCACTGGAAAAATGGGCCGGTTGTTGCCAGATAGAGAGCGGTCACAGCTCTTCTCTCCAGAATCGCCTGAGGGAACTCCATGTTCTGTGTCTTGCTCAAATGCCATGCTGAGGACCAAGCCTCGAGCTTGACACTGCTAATTTCTCACAGCAGGCCTGGATGAATCCCAGTGGTCTGATATGCATAGTCCCACCAGTTGCTATCTCTCTCCATTTCATGCTTCAATCTGAAGAAATTTTTGTGCTGTTTTTATTGATATATTTTTGAAAAGGTAAGGCAGACTGCACTTCGTTTTGCCAAGTCTTGTAAGGAGACTTCATCTTGCTGGGATAGCTCTGCAGAGTTTACAAAAGTTTTTGGCACTGTATCACACACAAAAAAGTGAACCTTACATTGGTGCTTCTGCGCATGAGAGTTAAATGTGAGAAACAAATTTTTTAGTGGCTACCAAAAACATGCCATTGTGAAAGGCCAAAAGAAACCCTCTGGCTTTTCAGATGGCTACCTGAGCTTTTTAACTGATAGTTACAGGCAAGCCTTTTAGTAGGTTGTAAAGTAAAAATAGTTTGTAAAGTAAGAAAGCTACTGGAAATGGTAATATTTCTGTGAAGTTCATGACAAATTTTTACAATTACTATAAAATTACTCTAAACACATACTTCTATAGTGTGTTCGTGGGTACCTGTGCTGCTATAGACAGAGAAAACTTAGTGTTTTCCTGTGTTTTTCAGTTGGATGCAAACTCTGTAAATCAGGCATGGAGGCCAACCCAGTACACTGAATCTTTCAGCGGGGCGTATTCATGAGGCTCAAAAGTACATTAAATAAATGTACATAGCTTCTAGTCAGGTTGGAACACGGGAAGCATATGCTTTTATCTGCCTGGAGAACTATGTAGGCATGACCTTGATCTAGAAGCATGTGAGTGGGCAGGGAGTAGGGAAGCAAACTGCAACCCTGTAGTGAAGTTTCAGTCCCTTGTGATTCCCCTGCCTGTGATTCCCTTGTGATTCCTTGCAACAGTAGAGGTACTGACCTAGGGTTTCTTCCCTTTCGTGTTCTGTGTGCTGAGGCTCACAGACAAGCCAAATGTTTGTTTTAATTTTCAGCTTTTAAGCATCTCTCTCCTTCCTGGAGAGAGAGGGAGTCTTGAAATTGTGTATTACATTTGCAACCCCCTAGTAAATAGAAGGGGCTTTTATATAGGTACGTTATAGCTGCGTTTAAATCCCAAGGAGGTACCAAAACTGCTTCCGTAAATATGACATTGGCCTGATGGCACCAGGACAAAATGGAAAATCATTTCCTCTGCCTCATAAGGTTAGAAGAAAATTAACGCTGTGTGGCAGCTGTGTAGGTATAGCACATAAACACACACCAGCTTGAACCAAGCGCTCTCCTGATACACTAACGCAGTTGGAAGTTCTCTTTCATTGACAGACTCTTAAAATACACAGAGGGAAAACAAGCAGGATTTTGCTGTGAATTATAAGGGTCTTTCTGGATGCACTAAGTTTGCAGTTGCAATGGGAGATAAGGGAAACTCATACTCCTTCCCCCCTGGTGCTGATTATCAGTAGGGCGAGCAAAACAGGTAATTTGGCTCTATATAATTGTCTTTCTGAAGTATATTAATAGTAGAATCAAGATTTATTTATCAGACTTGTCTTGAGATAACTAATCTCCTCTTGCCATATTTACTTCATGCAGTGTAATATATGGTATGTATGCATGAATAATATTTGCTAACTAGGCAATTAAAACAGTAATAATTATTGATGGCATGGATTAATAACATGGGAATAGTAATACAGTACACACTTTTTTTTTAAGTTAGTGTTTTTGTCACGTGAAATAGTATTGGTTTATTAACAAGACCTGGGTATGATGTGTTCATTAAGGAGAAACTTAAGGTAGTTGTAAATAAAAAAAATAGCTATCCACATTATAAAACTCATCGACACATATATAAAAAAGGAGCACAAAACCTTTTCCTTTGGCTTTTTGCTGTTCATGCCCTTCTATCTTCCTGCAGTACAGATGGGGCTGGGACCACCTTCCTGTTCTGCATCAGCTGTGTGCCTCCTGGTTCTGGGGCTCCTGCGTGTTAGAGCAGAACAAGTAAATTATTATATTAAGAGCAGTTCCTCACGTACATAAAGAGTTAAGCTTCCCTTTTTTTTTTCTTTTTTTTTTTTGCCTCTTCCTTCCAAGGAAAAGGCAGATAGTTTAGTGAATATTCAAAGAATAGATGGTTTACTGAATTTTGTTTCCCCCTCTGAAAGTAGTAAAGCATTACCCCAATTTACAGATAAAGACACCAAGCCAGACACTGGCGTAGACAGCAAGTCATTAGCCATCATGGGGAGGAGGGCAGCTTGCTTGGTCCCCAGTGCTTTGCTTTAACTGCTACACTGGGTTTCCTCCTGTGCTCATGCGATCCCAGCTACTTTACTAATGAGGAAAATTGT